CATCAGCATCAGCATCAGCATCAGCATCATCAGCATCAACATCATCATCGTCCTTCTCTTCCTCCTGCTCCCATCCAACTCCTCTTCCTCATCTGCCTCCTCCTCCTCCCTGCCTCCCCTCCTTCGGCCCAAATGCTCATTCTCATCTCTCCCTTCCTCCCCCTCGTCCTCCTCCGCTTCTTTTTCCACCTTCTCTGCTTCTCTTCCTCTCTACCCTCACCCTCCTCCTCCTCCTCCTCCTCCTCCTCCTGATCCTCCTCCTCCTCCTCCTCCTCCTCCTCCACGTACTCCTTCCTGCCATTCTCATCTTCCGTCTCCTCCTCCTCCTCCTCCTCCTCCTCCTCATCCTCCTCCGCTTCTTTTTCCACCTTCTCCTGCTTCTCTTCCTCTCTACCCTCACCCTCCTCCTCCTCCTCCTCCTCCTCCTCCTCATCCTCCTCCTCCTCTCCCTCCGCCTCCGCCTCCACCTCCTCGTGCTCGACTGGCAACAGACAGCGCCTGTTACTTCGGTTGGGGAAGTTGCCCGGCAGGGTCTCCGTGCCCTGCGCGGGGGCGGAGGGCTAAGAGGAGGGGACGAAAGAAGCGGAGAGCCAAGACGAAGGGACGGCGGTTAAGAGGAGGAGGTTCAGCGGAGGGTTCAGAGGGGTGACACTTAAGAGGAGGAGACGACGGCTCAGAGGAGGGGTCCACGGGTAAGAGGAGGGCTTAGAGGAAGGGACTACGGTTAAGCGGATGGTTAAGAGGAGGCGCAGGATGGTTTAGCGGATTTCTGGCTGCCAACAACGAGCGTCGCGAAAAAATAATCGCCGGCCCAACGGGCCAGAGGCGTGCTAAGATCTCCGGTAACTGGTTAACAATTCTCTAGTTCGCGCGCGCGGGGCGGCCCCTGGGGGTCCCCGGACGAAAAGTACCCCGGCAAGGTCCTGAGAGAGTCCCGGGAGGAGTCCCCCAGAGCGCTCCAGGAGCGCTCCATGAGCGCACCAACAGGGCTCCGAGACGTCCCCGAGAGCCCCAAGAAAGGCCAAGAGGCCCCCAAGAGGCCCCCAAGATGGTACACGAGGGGTCCGACATGCCACAAGATCGCTCCAAGACGCCCAAGATAGCCCCCAGACGCCCCAAGAGGCCTCCCAGAGCACTCCCAAGAGGGCCCCCGGAGGCAAAATTCATTGTTTTTCCTTAGGTTTTTGAGAGATTTTGGAGCTTCCACCTTTTCGGTTCCCGACGCCCCAAGACGGCCCCAGAGGCCCCCAAGATCGCCCCAAGAGGGCCCAAGAGGCCCCCAAGAGGGCCCCAAGATGGCCCAAGAGGGCTCGAAGACGGCCCAAGAAGCCTCCAAGACGGTCCAAGAGGGCCCCAAGAACACCCCCAAAGGGGCCCCAGAGAGGGAACACGAAACAAAATTTCGCGCCCTCGGCCCTAAGAAGCCCCTACGAGGCCCCAAGAGGCCCCTAAGAGGCCCCAAGAGGCCCCCACGAGGCCCTCAGGAGGCCCCCAAGAGTCCCCCAAGCGGCCCCAGGAGGCCCCCCAAATGCCCCCCCGAGCGCCCCAGGAGTCCCCCAAGCGGCCCCAGGAACCCCCAAAGCGCCGCATTGACACCAGGCCCTCGGGCAAACGGCAGACATGAGACCGTATGGGCCGGCGGAATGAGCGAAGCGATTCAATAATCAAAGCGTTTCCGGCTACAACCAGCTACGCCCAGTTACACCCAGTCACACCTAGTTGCACCCAGATGCTCCGATATGCACCCAGTTGCACCCAGCCTGACCTTAGTCGTACTTAGCTGCACCCAGTAACATGTACCTACACCTGGTTGCACCTTGAAAGTGTCAGCTCGTGATAACACAATGACCCCACCTCCTCTCCCATGACTGGTGAATGCAGTCGGCCCGTATCATAAGGATACGTGATGAGGGCGCAAAGGCCTTGGACGCCCATTTCGAAGCTTTTCGAGCGGGGTGCGGCCAACGAAAGTGGCCAAGGATGGGCCGAGGAGGTAAGGATGCAAGGGGTACCCTTGGGAAGGTTGCTCACCCATACTATGCGGGTCGACTGTAAATCTTGAGTGCAGATCCGCGCAGACGAATGGGGGAGGGAGAAAGAGGCGAGGGAGGGGGGAAGAGCGAGCCTTGGGAAAGTCGCACATCCTTCCTCTGCGGGTCGGGCCCCAACCCATCTTTCGATCGCACGCGCCGAGCTGCATCACGGGCGTCGACGAGGGGAGCCTGTACCCCCCTGGGCGGCAGCCTCAGAACGATTGCCTTCCATGACAGAAGCTGTCAAAAGGGGGAGGAGCACGGACTTGTTTCCCTCGCATCGAGGAAGAGGAGGGGGAGGAGGGGGAGGAGGAGGAGGAGGAGGTGGAGGAGGAGGAGGAGGAGGAGGAGAAGGAGGAAGAGGAAGAGGAGGGGGAGGGGGGGACGTGTTTCCCTCGCTCGGACGGATCACTGCCGCGCTCACCGTCGCCGTCGCCGCTGCCGCCGCCGTCCACGGTGGCTCTGTGCAGCGCGCGCGTCGTCGTCCTCGTCGACGTCGGCGTCGGCGGCGGCGGCGGCGGCGGCAACGGCGGCAACGGCGGCGGCGGCCGTGTCGGCGCCGTCTGCGGAGGCGCTGCTGCCCCTGGCCGTCGCTCGGACGTCCATTCCCTGTGTTTTTGTTCCGTTTCGTGCGTGGTTTTTTCGCCACCTCGCCGAGGGAAATATGCACACGTCCAAGCGCTGCCAAGCCCCCCTCGCCGCTCGCGTCGCTCGCGACGCGGCGACAGGAGGAGGAGGAGGACGAGGAGGAGGAGGAGGAGGAGGAGGAGGAGGAGGAGGAGGAAGGGAAGGAGGAGGAGGAGGGAGGAGGAGGAAGGGCCCGAGCCCTCGCTGCCGATGCGGCGCCGCTCGCGCCGCGCCCGCCGCCCTCCCGCCGGCGGCCGGGCGTCGACTCTCTTCGTAGCGGCGCCGAGCCGTGCTGCGTCTCGTCTCTTGCTCGGCCGGCGCCTCTCGCCGCTCGCCTCGTCCGAGCAGAGGGGGGGACAACTTGTTGACGCGCCAGGCCGATGTTTTGGTTGATCACACGCCGCAGGAGGAGGAGGAGGAGGAGGAGGAGGAGGAGGAGGAGGAGGAGGAGGAGGAGGAGGAGAAGGAGGAGGAGGGGGACAAATTGTTTACGCGCCAGGCCGATGTTTTGGTTGACCACACTGGAAGGATGAAAAAACGACCCTACCCTGGGTTACAAGTGCGCGGTCTGTAAACCTCCTGGGACCCCCAAAGCCTAGAGACGCCAGGACGCGGCACATCACGCAGGGTTTACCCTGTCAGCCCACCTGAGTTTCAGCGCACAGCGCCTCGTAAACCAGGGTAGGGGCGTTTTTTATGCCCTTGACACACGCCGACAGCACACGTAGCCGAGCTGCTGCTGCAAGATGCCGTGCCACTAGACAGATTCGCACCGCATGCGCACGCCAAACTGCACGGCTTCTGACCGTGTCTTACAGGAGTCCTCTCCACGAAGACACAGGGGGGAAAACCTGTACAAAGAGGTTCTGTTGTACAGAATACTACCTCGGCCTCTGGTATCCCGCAGAGGCGAACTGTCGATCTTAAATTCTGGTCAGCACCTCGATCCTCGATCGTCACCGGGACCCCGATCCTCGAATCCTGATTCCCGATCCTCACCAAAACCTCGATCCTTGAATCCCGTTGAAGCATCGATGGTCGACGCAACGATCGTAATCCGTACAACCACGGAGAGAAAGTAGCCATCCCTGCATAGAACCCCTAGCATTAGTAGGAATAGGCATGCACAATTGTGTGATAGCCACATGTTTCGGCCAGCTGAGTATTCGAATCAATCGTGCCACGCCCCCGTCACAACTCTTACAACCTCTCTCTCTCATTCTCTCTCTCTCTCTCTCTATATATATACGATGTTGCCAGCGTGGACCCCAGACAGTGTGTATCTAGCAGCTTATGTTGTGCAATCTATGTTGCGTAGTCTGTGTTGTGCAATCTATGTGGTGCAATATATGTTGGGCAATCTATGTTGAACCATCTGTGTTGTGCAATGTATGTGGAACGATGTAGGTGGCTCAGTCTTTGTGGTACAATATGTGTTGTACAGGCTATGTATGCAATATTTATGGTATTATCTATGGGTTGCCATCTAGATTGTGCAATCTATGTCGTGTAATCTATGTGGTGCAATCCACTTTGACTGTCTTGAAGCTGTCCACTCCACTGCTCGCGCAAACATCCCACCCACCCACCCGCAACTTGGTTTGCAACATCTCTTAAGACCGTGACGGTGGGTACCAAATGGCACTTGGCAGCGACAGCGACGCCGACGACGACAGCGACAACGACGACGACGACGCCGCCGACAACGACTACGACGACACCGACGACGTCTCCAACGACTTCGACGACGCCGACAACGACGACGACGACACCGACGACGACGACGCCGATGACGACGACGACGACAACGACGACGACGATGACGACGCCGACGACGACGACGACAACGACGACACCGACGACGACGACGACGTCAACGACGCCGACGCCGACGACGACTTTTTGTGCCGAGGGGGCTGCGCCGCCTCTCCCGCAGTCTGCGGGCAGTGCAAAGGGCTGAGCCACGCGCAAACGGCGCGTGCTCAGATCCCTCCGCTCTTCCTCTTGTTGAATGCCAGCGCCATCGCGCTGGTGCCTGGCTGCAGGCCCTTCGCGATCCTCGCGAGGTTCTGCCTGGCCAGGGGGCTCCTCGCATGCCTGCACGAGCTTCCGCATGCTCTCTCTCGCGATGCATCCGCACTTCTTGCAATAGTGCAGGCCGAGCTCCTCCACGTGCAGCACCGTGGCTCTCGTGGGCCTCCTGATTGGCGATCCTCGGCCTGCTCCTCAGCGAGCCGTGGACAGCGTCCGCCTTCTGCACGGCGATGCACTCGCCTGCTGGTGTTCTCCAACAACAAGGCACGCCTGCGCGCCTTGACGTGGGCCTCCTGCCTGGTCTTCAAGCTCGGGACCTGCGACGGCTCCTCCTCGATGGAAGCCATGAGCGCCAGGTAGGCGCGGTCCCTGACGGGCCCTGCGACGCCCTCCGCGAAGCCCACAGACCTCGCCTGCGCGCGCGGTACATGCACTGACTCCGCGATGCCGTCCACGAAGTCGTCCGCCAGGACGTTCCCGAGCCAGTCGATCGGGTTGACCTCTGCGTCCGGCGCCTCCTGGGCCGCCATGTGGCTCTCCACCTTGATGATCTCGACCTGCTTGCCGATGATGCCCTGCTTGACATCCTTCCACAGATCGACGTGGGTCTTGGGCATCCTCCCTCCTCGAAGCTTGTCCATGCCCCTGACCACGTACGACGAGTCGGCGGTGTACCTGATTTTGTCGAAGTACCCGCCAGCTGCGATGATCACGTCCTTCAGCGCCACCAGCTCCCTGCGGTTGACGCTCTGCCTCCAACCAGCGAGAGCGCCTCGGCTGCCCGCGACCACCTTCGCCTCGGTTGAGTCTACGCTGTTGAAGACCACCCAACCCCAGGACACCCTCCTCAGCCTTGGGTCCTTCGAGTACTCGCCGCCTGACGCATCGCCAGCCGCGATGAGCCATCCGTCCGTCGTGCTCTCCGTGCTGCTGGAAAGAACCTGCAAGCCACCGAAGCTTTAAAACAACTCCGCCCCAGGCTCGGGCGGGCCGTTGACCGACGTCCAGCTCGCTGGTAGCAGGCCTCGCAGCCACAGGCACGGTTGATTCTCTACCTCCGTGGACGCTCTCTCCATAAGGTGCTGCGACTTCTCGATGTCCTCGATAGACCCATTGTACTTGCACTCCCACATGCGGTGCTTCCAAGTCTCTGGCTCTTCACCGCACCTGGGGCACATGACGCCCTCGATCTCGATGCCGAGGTCCGCCACGCGCTGCCTCGGCCACGCTCCTCCAGTCATGATCGCGAGGAACGCGCCGACTTTGTCGTACTGGCCCTTCCTGCGAAGCTTGCTGATCTTCATCTTCGCAGAGCGGAGGTCGGCACCTCCCTCCAGGCCGCCGCCTGCAAAGTGCTGCGCGGCCCTCGCCCACTGCTTCACCTCGATCGTGCCCTTGATTGCCGACTTCAGGTCGCTGAGGTCCACGTCGTCGTCGAGCGCGTGCTCGTCGTCGCCGCCGAAGACCTCGCCCGCCTTCGAGACCCAGTGCCATGGTCCCAGGGGCTGCCGCTCCAGGTCCAGCAGCGTGACCACCATGGCGCGCGTGATGCCCGTTACTCCTCGCCACCTGTGCTGCGGCTTCTTCTTCAGCATGGCCGAGACGATGCGAGGCAATACGATGCGCGCCTTCTTCCTCCTCTGCGGGTCGCTGACGATGTGCATCCACGAGTCTAGCAGCGAGAAGACCGTGCCGAACGCAGGATCCCCCACGCCGATCTCCAGCTGCAGCAACGTCGTGAGGCAGCGGCCACGAATGCGCGGGGCTACCACCGATGCCAGCCTCCTCCTCCACTTGGTAACCGTGCTGGGAGCCATGCCGAAAACTTGCATGCGTAGCCTGCTCGGGGCGGCGCTCCCCGCTGGACGACCTGTCTCGCGCCGCCTCTGGCCCTTCGCCTTCTTCTCGCCATCCTCAGCGCTTTGGCCACCTGTCGGTCGGCATGGGCGGTTCGCTTCGCGTGCTTGCCCTTGCCTCCTCCGATGCTGCGGCCCCTGTCAATGCCCAAGTCTGGCGCCTGGCCCCCTCGCCTTGACCACGATGTTGCGGCTCCTCAGCCTGAGAGCAACCTCCTTGACCACGCCCATGTCGTTGCCGATCAGGGTGGGCTTGCTCGAACGGGTGAGCTTGGCCTTCCTAATCCCTGCGGCGAAGTCCACTCCAGCGCTCGTGAGCTACTTGATCACCTCGCGCCTGGACCCCTCCATCCTGGTGGTGACATCGTCCACCCACGAGCGGACGTACACCTGCTGGTACTTCGCGCTGGCATGCTCCAGCGTGGCGTAGAGCGCCACCCTGCCGACGTCGATGCCGCGCCTGGCGCCCGCGCAGATCGACCTGTCGGGCGAGATCGGCTCTGCGTATGCCGTCCGCTCGCGCACAAGCCTCGTGCCCAGGTGGCTCAGCATCTCCAGGTGCAAAGTGCGCGCTGGGAGGCCGAGACGGAGCCCTTCCTCCATGATGAGGAAGGGCTCCAACGTGTCGTAGAACTCCGCTAAGTCCCACAACGCCGTCACCGTGAAAACCTTCATGGGTGCCCACTCCAGCACCTCGTCGGCGAAGGAGCGAATGAGGGCCTCCTTCAGGGCGCTGTTGCCTGCGATCGCGGCGTCCCACTTCCCTGCCATGTGCGACACCCACTCGTTCGTGTACTGGCTCCTGATCTTGGACCAGATCTTCATCACCTCCGACAGCAGCCCGATGACACGGTCGCCCCCCGCGTCCTTCCGCAGCAAGCTGACCAACGTGACCATGAGCTGCCACGGCCGGGTCCCCGTGCGCTCGACCTGTATGAGGACATTGAGGAGCTCGACCCTGGCACTGGGAGGGAGCCACTTGTAGGCGAGGGCCCCCAACTGCTCGACGCCCTTCGCCTTGCTCTTGCCCATGCTGAGGATCGCGCTGTTGAGGTTCTCCAACGTGATGGGAGCCCAATCCTCCTCCAAGGCCGCTGCTCTGGTGACCTCCAACTTGTCCAGCACGACGGCGCGTGCGTAGCTGCTGGTCCACTTCTTCCTCCACTGCGCGCCCTTGGCGTCCATGTGCCCGACCATGTTGGAGGCCGTCCAGTCGCTGGTCCCGACCTCGTTGCCGCACCTGGGCTTGTCCCGCGTGCGTCTGTGAAGCTTGCCACTGCCCACCGCCTCCTGCTCCTGCGCCCACTTGGTGTACGCGATGAGCGCCTCGTTCGCCTCCGCGCGCTTGCCCTTCCTGGCTGTGGAGAGAGCTGCCGCGCCGAGGGCCTGGAGCTGCTCGGTGTTCAAGCTGTGCACCTCGGCCAGGGTGGTGCGCCACTTCCTCTTCTGCTTGCTAATCATCTTGGCAACGCCTCCGCTCGGTATGGAGCTGCTCATCTCTCGGATGCGGCTCCGCAAGTGCTGACTGCGCTGGCCCAGATCATGGCAGCGCTGCAGCTCGATCAAGTAGGACGCCAAGGTCCCCCACCACGTGATGGAGCTGTCTGCGTCGCTGGCCACGTTATCACTCATCCGTTTGGCTCTCGTGGTGAAGCTCACTGCCTCACCCCTCCCCGCGTGCTTGCGCCCCTCGGTGGGCTCAACCTTCAACAAGCCCAGTAGTCCTGCTCCGTCGCGTACACCCACGCTCCGGACTGCGCGCCCAGCTCCTTGGCACGAAGGGGTCGAACTGGTACGCTGCCGAGTCCGCGATGTAGCTGGGTGGCATACGCCAGGCAAGACGGTCCTCCCCGTAAGCCTGACCAATCTGGAGCTGCCAGATCTCGGCCCTCTGGGTCTCAGGAATGTCAAACACCTCGTCTGGGCCACGCTTGGTCTCCTTCTCGGCCTTCTTCTCGCCGTAGTCGCTGACCTCGTCGTCCTCCGCGCTGGACCCGAAACCGCCGAAAAGGTCCTCCATCTCCTGGTCGGCCCTCCTGCACTCGACAGGGACGTCCGAACAGCGGATGGCCACGAAGTTCTCGACCTCCACTGCGTTCTCCTCAGCGCACGCCATCCCCTCGTTGACGCCCCTCTGCTGGCGGTCCTTCTCCTTCTGCCTGCTCCTCTTGCTGCTGGGATCGGCCCGCCTCTTCGGCACGTCAGGCAAGGGCAGTGGCTTGGGGGGGGGGGGCGCGTGGGTCACTTTACAACCAGAAGCGCACTTTACAACCAGATGGGTCACTTTACAACCAGCTTATAAAATCCAAGAAGGGCACTTTACAACCAGGAAGGGCACTTTACAACCAGGCAAGTAAAAACACATATTGAATGCACGCGTGCCTTTCCCTGAAATCTCCGTGGGCAAGCGCGAGGGTGGCTTTGGGCTCTTTGAGGCATGTTGGTTGTAAAGTTGCCCATCGCGCACGAAGAAGCACTGCGCACGAGTTGGCGATGCGGCGACCTGGTGCGCTATGGCATGTTGCGTGCTGGTGGGCGGATTCGAGTTTTGACCTGCTCTCTAAGCTCTGTCGGTCAGTTCTGCCATTGCTTGCTCTGCTTTTTTTTTTTTTTTTTTTTTTTTTTTTTTTTTTTTTTTTTTTTTTTTTTTTTTTCTGACGGGCGAAGGCTAGTCGCGCAGGACATACGAATAAACCATGATCCCGTCCAAGACTGGAGCTGCATGGCAGTGGAAGGCTGTAGTAGGAGATGTGGTGGAAGCGGGGGCTCCAATGGGAACTGCATGGTGTTGGGAAGCTGCGGTGGCAACTGTGGTGGTCGCCAGGCAACGGTGGGAACTGTGGTGGTAGCTGGGCTGCAATGGGTTTTGCGGTAGTAGCGGGGGGTCAGTCGGAATTGTGGAGGTAGCGGGGCTGCAGCGGTAAGTGTGGTGGTAGCAGGCACAAAGGTGGCGGTGATGCGCTGTCACGGTGGCTCAAGCTGCTGCGCTGGCACGGTGGCTGAGGCTGCTGCCCGAGCACGATACCTGCGTTGCTGCGCTGGCACCGTGGCTGACGCTGGAAGAAACGATCTTCGAAATAGTTGCATTTATTCGGGGCGTTGAACCTCGATCTTCCAAGACGAGGAGCAGCAGGGGGCCAACTGGAGCGGGCGCACTTAGCCCCTTGCAGAACACCGTGGGGCTTCAGGGGCCAACGTGGCCCAAGAGACCCGCGGTGCCAATGGCCTAGTTCCCTGGAGCGCTGGGCCCTTGTGGAGGCCACTGGGCTCGCTTCCTGTGAGTGATCCCTAAAATGGGCAGCGCGTCGCCCTGAGCCTTCCTACGTATGCTGTCGCCTTATTCCCGTGCGAGCACGGGGCCCTTGTTGAGGCCGCTTGGCCCCTGCTAGCAAGCCCTGTCTTAGTCTGCTGGGCTCAGAGCGCCAGAGCGTCCAGGCGCTCGGGCTCAGAGGCATCGCCGGGGCCTGCTCAGAGCGTCCAGGCGCTCGGGCTCAGAGGCATCGCTGGGGCCTGCGCAGAGCGTCCAGGTCCTCGGGCTCAGAGGCATCGTTGGGGCCTGCGCGGGGCGTTCAGGCGCTCGGGTTCAGAGGCATCGCTGGGGCCTGCGCAGAGAGTTCAGGCGCTCGGGCTCCGGAGCGCCCGCGTGCTCTGGATCATTTTTGAGAGCGTCCGCGCGCCCTGGAGCACTTTTGGGAGCGCCCACTTGCTCTGGAGCATTTTTCAGAGCGCCCAATTGCTCTGGGGCAGTTTTCAGAGCGCCCACTTGCTCTGGAGCACTTTGCGGAACGCCCAAACACGCATGGCCACTCTGAGCTGGTTGTAAAGTGGTCCGTTCTGGTTGTAAAGTGGCCCGTTCTGGTTGTAAAGTGGTCCGTTCTGGTTGTAAAGTGGGCCGTTCTGGTTGCAAAGTGGACGTTCTCGATGAAAAAACAGACTTTCCAATCCTATGTTGGTTGTAAAGTAACCCATCTGGTTGTAAAGTGGTTGTTCTGGTTGTAAAGAGACCGAATCTCGGGGGGGGGGGGGCATCCTCTGGAGCGCTGACTCTGTCTCCCCCCGAATGTGGATCCTAACCCCGTAGTGGTCGCCTGGGTCCATCTGGTCACTGACCACTCTCGCAATCAAGCGTTGGAACGACTCCGAGCAAATCGCGTAGTGGAGCATCCTCGCTGCACTCCGTGTGCACGCGCACTGCGCGTCCTCTGGCGTGCGCACCACTCCGCCGAGCACCTTGAGCCAGCCCGCCTGCTTGATCTCGCTCGGCTCCGCGTTCCAGTCGCCGACCGCCACCCACGGCCCGTCGCGACCACGAGCCAGTGCTGCTAGCCTCGCCATCTTCATCTGGTTCTCGCCCTTCACTCCGAGCGACGAAGTGAAGTAAATGCCGACCACGAGGACCGAGTGGCCCTTCCACCGCCGCGTGATCGCCACCATGTCCTGGAAATCGATTGGCCCAGGTGACCAATCGGCACCGAGTAAACGGAGTCCGACTGCCTGCTCCTTCTTCGCCGCGAGATGCCGCAGCGACTGCACAGAGAGGTGCGCCTTCGCCGCCATCCCGATGCCACCTGCCTGGCCCGCTCGGTTGCTCCGTCGGGAAGGCGTCGCTATCGCCTTCCAGCCCTTGCCGCCCAGGTGGTCCAGGATCTCGTTGGCCCCGTCCGCCCCGACGTGCGTCTCTGGGAAGATGAAGATGTCATCCGTGCAGTTGCTGATGCGCTTCCTCAGCCTCGGTCCCCATGTCGAGAGGTTGCGCATGTAGATGCTGTGGCTAAAGCCCCTGCTTGGCGCCACCCGCCTTGGAGCGCTCACGAGCAGCAGCCACTGCTTCCGCCAGAACCCTCTTCTCGGCGACCTCCTTGTCGACCATCTCCTGCGCGGTGGGCGCCGCCGACGAGGCTGCTGCTCCTCCGCTGGCGGCTGCAGGCGCTGCTGGCGGAGTCCCAGTGTCGTCTGCTGCGCTCTGCCCCACGCTCTCCTCGTCGTCAACCTTCCTCTTCTTCTGGAGGCGCTCCATGAGCTCCTGCTGGTCCTTTTGCTGCTGCCTGAGCTTCTCGGCCGCCGCTGCGAAGGCCAGCTTGCGCTGCTCGATCTCCCTCTTGTCGGACTCGCTGATGCCGCCGCTGCACTCGAAGAGGTTGCCCATGTCGACCTCGACCTCCTCGTCCGCGAAGAGAGCGCCGATGGGGAGGACGTTGGCCTTGCCACGACCAGCGTCGGCGGCTGCAGCACCGCCGAGAGGATGCCGCTGAAGTTCCGCTTTGGCTTCGTCTTCTGCTGCGGCCACCTCTGCGCTGCGAGCGGCCAGGTCAGCTTCTGCTTGCCGTAGCTCATCTCGGAGACGTTCTCGCCGTCGGAAGGCCTTTGTCTGCGCCGTCTGGGCCTTCTGAACTCGGTCCTCAGCAGCCCGCAGCGCGGCACGAGTACCTGGGGCATGCAGTGCTGTCGCTGCTGGTGTGGGAACCGCTTCCGCCAGCAGCGCGTCGAGCCTCTCCTTCTGCTTGCCCTCTGTCTTGGCCGCTGCTGCTTCGAGTAGTTGCTGAAGGGGGAGCTCCGCCAACGGCTGCTGACCGTCAGCAGCGCGGGCCCCGAAGCTCTTGGCCTTGCCCTTCTTGGTGCCTGAGCCTGCGCTGAGACTTGGCCAGCACCCTCCGTCGCGATCCCATCCTCCAGAAGGTGGTCCCGCTCCTTCAGGTGGCTCCGCCCCCCAGCTGCATGAACCGCACTTGCACTTGTAGTTCTCTGCTTCCAGCCGATCTGCGAACAACCACTTGCAGCACTCCTGGTAATAGACCTTGCGTCCACGCTGCTGCTGTTGATGGCCTCCGCTGCGACGCCACTGCTCTCGCCAGGGCCACACTGCACGCCATGGCTGTCGCATGAAGGTGCCGCCGAGAGCTCCACCGCCGTCCCCACGAGAAGCAGGAAACGGAGCCATCGAGCGGCCGAGATATGAAGCTCACTCGTGCGGGCGCGCGAGCGGCGGGGAAACAACTGGGTCCTCGCTAGCCCTGGACCAAGGGTATCCGTGCTCTCGCACAGGGCGAAAACATATTGAGCTAAAACGGCTACGGACCGACGACGACGACGACAACGACGGCGGCGACGACGACGACGCCGACGTCGACGACGACGAAGACGACGACGACGCCGACGACGACGACGAAGACGACGACGTCGCCAACGAAGACGACGACGAGGGAGGAGGGAGGACGACCACGGCGACAACGACGACAACGACGAGGGAGGAGGGAGGCCGGCGACGACGCGAACGAGGAAGAAGGAGGAAGGAGGGCGACGCCGACGACGACGACGACGAGGGAGGAGGGAAGACGACGACGACGACGACGACGACGACGACGGCGACGAAATAGGAGGGACGACGACGAGACGCCGACGACGGACGACGACGACGACGACGACGACGACGAGGGAGGAGGAGGAAGGACGAGGGACGAGGAGGAAGGACGACCACGGCGACAACGACGACGGAAACGACCACGACGCCAAAGAGGACGACGACGACGAACACGAGGAAAGACAGAGGGCGACGTAGGCGACGACGACGACGACGCGGGAGGAGGGAGGACGGCGACGACGACGAAGACGACGCAAGAGCGCGCGCGCACGCTTTTGTTGAAAATCCGTGTTGCGAAACCTTGTGTTTTTGTAGGTTTCTGGGGCACACGATTTTGAAATCCTTCCGAGACCGATGGGTTTTGAAGGATTTCGGCGTACGCGCGCGACGACGCGCGCGTCTGCACTTCGTCCCATTTGTTGCAAAGGATTCTCGCGTCGGCATACGCGCAAGGGCGTTCGACAGATTTCGACATGCGTGCGCGCGAAGCCCGTTTGGTAGCATTCTGTGAAAACCTTGAAAAACCGATGGTTTTCTTAAGAATTCGCAAGAGCTCGCGCGTAAGCTTTTTTAGCACATCAATGTTGCGGAACCGTGTGTTTTTGTATGTTTAGTCAAAAACTCGATTGCGAAGTCCTTCCGACACCGAAAGTTTTTGAAGGATTTCGGCATGCGCGCGCGACGACGCGCGCGTGTGCACATCGTCCCGTTTTTTGCAAGGGATTCGTGAATAAGTCTTATGTTCGAACAACCACTGTCCCCGCGTATTGTTCTTTACAACGGAACCTCAGGGGGGGCGATACCGGTTCCTCTGGGATAATGTAGATTCATATTTCGGATGGACATGTGGTCAGAATCGTATATGATTTACATACCCGAAAGGGGGGCCGATAACGCCGGGGGGGGGTAGAGTACCCCAGATTTCGTAATAAAGGGAGGGGGATCTCATTTCGGGGGGGGTCTCTTCCAGGCTATCTTGGAGGGCCTGGGGGGGTCTGGGGACGATGTTTTGGAGGGTTCTCCCACGGGGGAAGTCTGAAATGGCTTGTCTTGGAGGGTCCAGACCCCCTCCCTGTTATTACGAAATCTGGAGTAGTCTATTCTCTTCTTAGAAAGGAATCTAACGGCGGCGACGAGCGGCGACGGGGCTGCGACCGGCCCAGACGACGGGCGGCGACGAGGCGGCGACGAGGCGGCGACGGCGGCCACATAGCTGCCAGACCGAAGACACGGCCCGGTTCCTAAGAATAGGGGAAAGAAACTCCTAAGTGCAGGCGCAGTTTGGGGAAACATGAATACGCGCATCAGTCTGGAGTCAGCCCGCAAGAGTCTGACCATTGGTCCATGGCCTTGCGTTGGCTGTGGCAAGACGCCGCTCTGAAATTTCGGTGGCGCGTGGAAACACACTTCCGACGAGATCGTCTCTCGCTCCATGTATCAATTGGGTCTTCATGTTAAGTCGGGAGAGAAGCGCTACTAGGGGACCGAACAATGACATGAAATTAAAACTCGGAGGTCCGCGCGGATTTCTCGGATCGGCGCTGGACCCCCCTCCCTGGCGCGCGGAGCGCGCCAGGGGCGGCGCCCGAGGCGCCGCCAGGGGGCTCCAGCGCGGATCGGAGAAATCCGCGCGGGCCTCGGGGTTTTTATGCTTGTGTCACTGTTCGTACCCCTGTTCAAGCAAAGCCGGCAGAGAAAACGCTGCCCCCGAGACGGGTCTTCCGTCTCTTCGGCCCCAGGGGGCGTCGGGGGAGAACGTACCACAGGCACGGGCGGTGAGGAGGCCGAAGGGACAGAAGACCCAGGGCCTTCGAGGTGGGGACCTCGTCCTCCTCCCCCACCTCCTCGAAGACCCACCACCACCCCCACCACAAGTTAGAGCGGGAGGGGGTCCTCGTCCTCCTCCTCCTCCTCCTCCTCCTTCCCCCCATCCAACTTCGCTCCTCGTCCTCCTCCTCCTCCTTCCCCCCGTCCTCCTCCTCCTCCTCCTCCTCCTCCTCCTCGTCCTCGCCCTTCGGCCCATCCAACTTCTGCTTCTTCGGTCCCTTCGGCCCCCCCCCCCAGGTTCGATCGCTGGTGCCCCCCAGCCACGGGCGGCCGGGGGCTTGCCGAGAGAACCGGAGCGGGGCCCAGGGAGAACACCCGAAGCAGCGGAGCGGCTCTCGACGGGGGGCGTGCCAGCGATCCCAGGCGATCGGGCTGTCATCGTTGCTCTCGTCGTCGAACACGTCGTCGTCGTCGTCGTCGTCGTCGAACACATCGTCGTCGTCGTCGTCGTCGTCGCCGAACACGTCGTCGTCGTCGTCGTCGTCCCCTATGTCTTCCCGCTCCTCCTTTCTCCTCTTGCCTCCTGCCCTCCCTGCCGCATCCCCGTCCACCGCGTGCGTGACCTAGGCAGTGCCGTCCATGCACAGCGTGCAGCAGCATCTGCTGCAAAGCGAGAGGCACGTGAAGCGTTGCCTCAGGAATCGTAGATCGCAGAAGCCGAGACAGGCAAAACGGCCGACCGAGGATTCGACTCGACTTACTTACTGCGGATAGCCTGGTCCGAAGAGCCACTTCTGGTCTGCCGGAGGTCGCCGGCATCGAGCAGCGAAGCTTCCAGGTCACAATATACTCCTTTCGAACCAACATGTCCTCCACCTGCCCATCGATCTCAATGGGTCAGGCCGCACCGCTTTTGCCGTAGTCCACTTCAGGTTACAGTCGATCTGCTTCCGAAACTGGAGCCTTGGTTGAGAGGCTCTGGAAGGTCTGGGAATATCATATCCCAGCCTGAAACAGCGCATCCAGAGGATAGAGATCGTCGGCATCACTAGCTCCTGCTGCTGGATCCTGTCCTTCCTCCTGCATGTCCACCTTCTTCTCTCCATATTCATCATTGTTCTGGGCACATCGGAGGCCGTCCTTTTCCTCAGGTTGCTCACTAATGGCTGGTCTACGGGTTACGTGCTCCATCGAGGGGTCTGTTCCAACGACCCTTGTTTTTTTGTGTACGTGCCTCTGCTTATCTCGGCTGTCTCCTGCGTTCCTCCTGGGCAGTCGAGGTCAGTCCCGTCTATCACATTGATGGTAAACTGCTTGCCGCCGCCACGCCCTGGAAAGGCCAAGCCGCGGAGCCTACAACACTGTGCTGTATTATACTGGCGTATGTCCAGCTGCCCACCCCGCACTGACTGCAGGCCATCTGTGACGTGCTCAGCATGGCTGCTGATGTCAGCCCGTGGCAACGGGATGATCCTGACCGACATGTATTCGTCCCCAGGGTGATCAAGTTGCCTCGCTTCTCCAAAGCTTCCATCCGTTGAGCCTTGAGCCAACACGTCTACGGAGGAGGAACATGAGGAGGAACATGAGGAGGAACATGAGGAGGAGGAGGAGGAGGAGGAGGAGGAGGAGGAGGAGGAGGAGGAGCAGGAGACAGGATGAGGATGAGGAACATCAGCAGGCGGGATGAGGGGGAACAAGGACAAGAAACTAGGAGGGAGGAGGATCATGGGGATGAGGATGAGGAGTGAGGGGGGAAGAGGAGGAGCAGGAGGAGAAGGAGGATGCAGGGAAGAAGCCCAAGCAGGAGTCAGAAGAAGAATCCGAGGAGAGGGGGGGATGAGGAGGGAGGAGGGATGTGGAGGATGGAGGAGGAGGAGGAGGAGGAGGAGGAGGAGGAGGAGGAGGAGGAGAAACAGGAGGAAGGAGAGGGGGGAGGAGGGTGGAAGATCCATCTGGAAGGCCGCCAAAGGTCACGCTGGCCGCTGGGTGCTAGATCCCAGAGCCCCCCCGAAGCGAACTGGAGCCCTTCCGCGTCCGTCGGCGGGAGCAGCGGCGGCCATCCAGGAGGTGCCGCGTCGCCCCTCCCCTCCACCCCGCACCTCGACCCCGGCCCCGACCCCCCCCCCTTCCCCTGGACCTCGACCTCTCGCCTTCCCGCAGCCTCCACCTCGACCTCGACCTCTCCCCCTCCCTCTCCCCCATCCCTCTCGACCTCTCCACGCACCCTCCTCCTCGCGCCCCGATGCCCCACCCCCGCCACCTCGCCTCGACCTCGACCTCGACAGCTTCCCCCTCCCCGCACCTCGGCCTCGGCCCCGACCCCTTCCCCCCGCCGCCTGTCCTTCCCCGCGTGCTTGCGTCGAGCTGCCTCTCGGGGCCTCGCCTCGCGCGCCGTTCCCTCCCAGCACGCGCGGCGCCTCGTCGTCCTCGGGGAAGAAGACGTTGCTTCCGAAGTTCCCGCCGACGATGCCAAGCCTGCGCGCGGCGGCGAGGGAAGAGGGCGGTGACGCTGACGAGCAACATGGACATAAGGATGCGGATAACCATGCGGGGCGGGCCGAGAAGGAAGAGAAAAAAGGGAGAGAAGGACGAGCAAGAGGGGTATGATGACGACGACGTTGACGACGAGAGGTACTAAGGAGGAATTGGGAGAAGGATGAGGAGGGGGAGGATGAGGAGGAGGACGAGGAGGAGGAGGAGGAAAAGGAGGAGGCGGAGGAGGAGGAGGAGGAAGAGGGGGGAGGAGGAGGGGGAGGAGGTATGGGGGGAGGGGGAAGGAGGGAGGAGGGAGGAGAGAGGAGGGAATAGGAGGAGGAGGAGGAGGAGGAGGAGGAGGAGGAGGAGGAGGAGGAGGAGGAGGAGCGGAGTGGACGCTACCACGAGCGAGTTTGCTCGTATCTCTTCCCAACCCCCTCCCTCCCTATTCGGAACGGGCCTCTCTGCTCCTTTTCATTAACGCCCCCTTCCCCGCCGACTGGCGACTAACCAGGGAAAATGCCAACACACCCACGCCATCCCTGTCACAACACAATGCAACATGCACTTTGCGGCAAACTCTGGATCATGTCCGGGCGCCCCGCGATCACCTAACATGTTTTTAATTTTCCTCCGACAGGGACGAGGGGGCGGGCCCGCATATCTGCGCAAACGTGCAGGCCCTCCACCCCTGGCAACAAAAATAAAAAGCATGCAACATATACGTTGCAGCAAAAGGTTGGGCCGTGAGTGGGTGCCCCGTACATGTTTTCCAAACGCACTCTTATACTGTTAATCATTACCCCCTGTGGTGCCGCTCCTCTCTCTCTCTCTCTCTCCGTTCCCGTCTTAACCGTTTGTCCCTCTCGGCTCTGCCGTCGCTCAAATTTCGGCTCGAGGGTTTCCAACGAGGTCTGCGAACCTCCCAGGATGTTGATTCGCACCGCGGGGGAACAGTTCCCCTCGCTTCGTGCGCTGGGACTACGAAGTTGTGGTGGTACGGAGTGGCTGCGCTCGCCGGCTGGAACGCAGGAAGCGTAGCCGACGAGGGGCGTCCTTTCTGGGCGGCAGCCGAGGAGTTCGAGGACTCTGCGGAGAGCGACTACGAGGCTGTGCACGATATCGTCGTTAAGGGTACGAGAGCTGCAGTGCTGATGGCGCCGTAGTCGAAGTGGAACAGGATATACCGTAAGACGGGGCCCTCGCATGGGGTGGTGATGTTGCTAGTGTCTCGAGTCGGGAAGTCGAACAGTACTGCGTGGACGGCATGCGGCCCGACGGTGAGGGTTCAGATCATCAGCGTGCGCGACACGGACCGAGTATGGTATTCACGAAACCAGTGAAGGAGTTGGCCTGGACCGAGCACCCAGGTTTAAGTGATTCGAGCAAAGGCAGGGTGCTGGCGGCCTCGGAACGTCTCATCTCACGTCGGGAGCTGGAGGCCGAGGAGGCGAAGTCGTCTAAAGCGCCCAAGTCAAAGCTCCAGAGGAAGAAGAAGCTGAGCAGGAAGTCGGACGTCTTCGACTCGCTCAAGAGTGGTGTGATGAACTCGTGGATAAGGATGTCGGCTGGAGGTTCGCAAGCTGTGCTTTTCCTTGCCTGGAGGACGTGGGAGTTTCTCTGCATGGGCTCCGCGCTGCGGAGTGCGCGTGGCTCATTCTTGGCGGCTGGGGAGCTCGCCGAGGGGGCGCAGGAGTAGTGCGAGAAGGCAGAGGAGATGCGCGAGTCGGGCGAGCTCGAGCAGGTGGTTACTTCGATTGGCGTAGGCGCGTCTGCTCTATTCCTGGGGCGCGGGCTGTTCTTCGGAGGGTGGCTTTCCAAGCTGGGGCGCGGCAGCGGCAATGGCAGTGACAGCGAGGCACCGGACTCCGAGCCCGCGAACGGGACGGCGCTGGCTGATTCAGACGGCGAGCCCGACTCTAGGCATTTGTTTGCGGAGCTGGCGCGAGGGCAGAACGCCCCGCAGGCGCCAGTGGCTTCGCTAGCGGACATACTCAAGATGAAGGCAGGCGGCGCGGCGGGCGACTCAGCGAGCGCACCGAGGAAGAAGCTGAGTTTTGACCCCATCGAGGAGAAGTCGGAGGTCCACGCTCAGCCGACGAACGCGCAGGTGGATGACTTCCTGAAGAAGCTGCAGGAGCACGAGGAGACGGTCTCAGCAGATTCGGCGGCGGCGACGAAGGGCGGCTCTGCTCCGGCGACTCCTGCGTCGGGGACGGCGGCCAGCTGGGGGAATATATCCTCACCTGGGAGTTCCAGCGTGGGTGAGGCGGTGGCGCAGTTGGAGATCGAAGCTCGCATTCCCAGGGGGGGGGCTCCCGGCTGCGTTGAAGCCCCATCGGGAAATCGGCGGCGCGCGTGTCGGTGGAGCACGGGCCCACGTGGCTTCTGCAGTGCTCGCTCGTCTGTGCAAGAGTGGGCGCGGCGCTAGGGCGGAGCTCGAGGTCTGGTTGAGGTCCAGGGAGCTGACGAAGTGCTCGGTTGCTTCTGAGATCTACATGCCGACCGCCGCGCTGGACAAGAAGGCGGGGTGTGGGGGTGGGGCAAAGGCCAAGGTGGCCGCTACCGGGGCGGGGGCGTCACGCTCAGTGCATGGCGAGATGGTAGGGCAGCTGCCTGGGCGCCACCAGCGGTGGCTGCTGGAAGCTGACCCGCCCTGTCGGGAAGAGTCGTTGCTGGGCCAAAAGGAATCCGCCGACCGCTCCCCTTTCCCGCGCGGCGGGGCACGCTTCCCCTTACCTTTCGCGAGCTCGGCGCTTTGCCTCCGCTTGTCAAGTTCGCGATACCACTCAGCGCGCCAATCGACTTGTGCGCCTTTCTTCCAGCAAAGTCTGCGCGCGTCGTAGTTGGCCTCGCTGAGGTCGCGCATAATTTAGAATTGTGGCCCTGGGGGTCTTTGGCGGAGCGGGGTCCACACTACTGGTCGCATATGGCATTCCACCCGATGGCCAGCATGAGGCCGCATTATTTCTTGAGGCTGTTGATCGCCGCTCTCCAGTCCTCCCTTGCGTTGGCTCGGTGGTTCCAGGTCGGGTGCCAGGTCACCTGGTGCCATGGCTTGTAGTAGAGTGCGTCGTTGTTGTCCGACTGAGGCGCGGGCGCCGAAAAAGGGGGCGGGCGGCGCGGCGCCGGCTCCTGACTCCAGGGCGGGGAACTTACCGCTGAGCCTCGTCCGCGCCACCTTTGGGGTGCGCCTGGGCTGCGCTGTTCGCTGGCCCTGGGGGTTTTGCGCACTGGTTCTTCTCCTGCGGTCTGCGAAGTGTTAGAATTGGGCTGAGCTGCCAGCGGGGCCGCAGCGCGAATGGGGCTGGAGGTGGGGGGCGCGCTGACCGTTGGGTGAGAGGGTTTTCAAGGGGCCCCAGGACACACAAACAAATACACACAGTTAAACTATTCCCCATATTTTCTCATGTTTTGGGGGTTTCTGTCTTCCCCCCACTTCCCATATTTTCCTGTATTTTTTGCGGGGAATCGAGGATTCATTGTGTCTGTGTGTTTCTTTCCCTCCTGATGACCGCTGGGTGAGAAGGGGTTGCCGGGGCTGCGCCGTCTCCCAGAACGACCGCCAGCCGGACTGTCCAGGGGGGCCCCCCCCCCGCTCCGGTCGCAGGATCACGTGCGGGAGGGCTCGCGAGAGGCCGAGCGGGCGCTGCAGCTCCTCCCCGCCCTGCCCCGCCGAGCCTCAGGGGGGGGCAAGATGGGAAAATCCAGCTGATATCTCGAGGCCCCCAAGATTCCCGCGAGAGGCCCCCAAGGGGCCCCCAAGGGGCCTCCAAGAGGTCCAGGAAGGCCTCCAGGGAACCCCCGAGGAGACCTCCCGGAGGCCCAAAACGGGCCCCTGAGAGACTTCCCAAGCAACCTTCATTTACATCTACGAGAGGCTTCGGATTCATAACCCGGGGGGCTTCAGACGACTCAGCGCGCCCGTCCCTGCCTCTGGCGCGGACGGGCGCCGTGCCGCGCCTTGAGGAGGCGGGGGTTGGCCGGAGGCCCGCCGCTCCGCGTTTGGCCTCGGGGGCGCTGGGGGGGGGCGGCAGTCTGGAGTGCTCCGCGTGTGGGGAGCTGCCTGGGTCACCTTGCAGCTCTGCCCTGGGTTCAGCTCTCCCTGTCGCGCGCGTTAGCCGTCGGTAATTTAAGCCGGTCGCGGCCCGACCTACTTCGCCCGCCGCTGGCGCGTTCGCCTGCGGCCGTAAAAAAAAAAGTGTGGGGAGCTGCCGCTGGGGCGCTGGGCTGTCGACTTCTCCCGTGGCACGGAGCGTGGAGGGCTGGCCGCTGCCGCTCGCGGGGGTGCGCGGGAGAGGGCTTCTGTCAGGGTGCGTCTCTTCTTTGCCGCACTTGCACGGAAATCATGCTCGAGTGGGTGCTGGAGCGTCGTCACCCCCCATGACTTCATGTAGCCGAGAAAGATTTCCCGGCTATGCCATGCTGGGTCCCGTCCCTTCCTGGACGCCCTGGGGTCGCGCTTGCTGCGGTACGCATCCCATTCGTCGGGCACCCTGCGCGAGCTGGCGGGGGCATGGGAGATCTGGCGATGCAGGTGGTTGACCAGAGGGGCCAGGGTGGCGCGCTAATCGTCCAATTGGACTCCTGCGGCGATCCCAGACGGCGGGATGGAGTCGCCGTATATGGAGACGGGGAACTCCTGGCAGCTCGCCCGGGCCAAGCTCTGGGGTCAGAGACGGGTCCCATGCCTCTCTGGGGCTGTCGTAGCGAGGAGTCAGCGTCACACACACATACGCACACACATACGCACACACTACGCACACGCATGCGCACGCGCACACGCACACGGCGCACACGGCGCACACGGCGCGCACACACACACCACACACACACACACGCACGCACGCACGCACGCACGCGCACGCACACGCACACGCACACGCACACGCACACGCACACGCACACGCACACGCACACGCACACGCACACGCACACGCACACGCACACGCACACGCACACGCACACGCACACGCACACGCACACACACGCACACACGC